AAATCAAGACAAGACAAGTAAATCCACAGGTGGGGATTGTACCACCCAGGAGCATCCAAGTTGGATGTGTTTACAAGCTCAAAAAAACTGTACGTGTATTTCTTTTACCTATTCCACCGGTAATATCAATATGCTACACTATTTTCCGTTTCCTTTCCCATTGGTTTTCATATTGACTCACTGTGACCCGGATCTGAGGACATCCATGATGTCTGCATTATTCTTGTCACTTTGGTAAATACAAGTGTTTGCCATCTCCCATTGTGCAAATTTTAATGCTCACAGCTGAAAGGGCCTATGCTGAATTACAGATTGGTTGATCAAAAGCTCGTTAGCTGCCTGGCAATTTCTGGCTAAGTTCAGTCCAATGCAAAAATGACTGTGATGAGGGCCGGGGCCTGACTTGCAAGCTGGCCAGACGTGTTTTCTGGGAGCTCCTGCCAGCATAACCTTTAAAGCTAGCAAAATCGTGCAAACATAGCGCCAGAAGACTCCAAAAGCAGCACAACAGATACTTCTAACGACTGGGGACACTGTGATTCTCCCAAACTTCAAAATGTCCACGTTAATTTGCCTTCTGGCCCTGTGGCCTGCTGAGACTGTGAATTCAGCATTCTGAAGCACAGCCATTGAAACACAGTTACATCCTCCCCCCCCTTTGGACCGGTGGGGGTTATCCCGTCCCAACTAGACACACTAATGACCTGCAAAGCCTAGAAACCGCTGTGCCCAAGACCGCGTGGCGGACCCAAAATGGCCACCGTACCAAGGCTCTCACTGCAATAAGAAAGCATGGAGCTCCAGGACTTGAGACAGAGGTTTGTAGCCAGATTCGACAAGGTGTGCAGTGAATTCTGGGTCCGCATAGCTAACCACTCCTGTACTCCTACCTCACCTGCGCAAACCGATCACCGAATACAGGAACCCATCACCACAGCACCGATACGTTTCCACCTGAGTAAGCCATGACAGGACAGGCGCGACACTGAAGCAGTTCCGATGGCGGGGAAGCGGAGGCGGACGCCTAGAAAACAGTGACACCTTCAAAATTCCAGTACTCCGGTGAGCTGCAATCCGCTGGGACCATGGACCAGCAGGCATGGTGCCCACAGCCTCCACTCACGCCCGCAGAAGGCACCTACCCATCGTGACATGACGACGTCTGGTAACAGACCCCAGAACCAGGTCCTATATGCGACTAAACGGGGAAGAGTGAGGCAGCAAGGCGGAACAGAGCTCCGACCCAAGGCTGGTGTGGATCAGTTAGGGAGCCCACTACATGTACACTCTTCTTGGCTAACGGGACACTACTTGTCGGGCATAGGCTGAACTGACGGCACACTGCTACCTATCAGCCACAATGACTCAGGCCATATATGCTTTCCAGCTCATTTTCTGATCCAGTCATATTTTTTCTTAGGTATTTTTCTTATGTTCCTTCTTTTGGTGTGTTTCATTATCTGTGTTAGCCTCTACCCGTGGATATTATCGATTGTTGGCATTTAATATTTAGCATAGATGTCCTTACCTTAACACTACATAACTATTACCAGAAGCCACACACAATACAGCCTAACACAAGTAATCATACTTCTCTAACATGCTTCGCATCTGAAGTACGATATATATACATGTTACCTGAAAGTCTCACAGCCCTTATGCTTTCCCATGCTAACATGTCTGTCTATATGGAGCTACTTCTAACTCAGAAGCTTGCCACCAGCACCCAGTGGCACAACAACAATATTGTTTAACATGACAATTCAGCATGTCTTCACTATCAATTAGCCCTGTGTATCTACTCATGCTTTACTTACCTTAATATTTTTATCAACATGCCTACGACTATGCAAAGCTTAGCCACTTTCCCTTAACAGTCACGCCAGACATATACTGGTTAGCCTGTGCTCTAAGCATACTGTATAATTTAAAAATGTGCGACTTATGCGAATGCCATAATACTGTTTTGTATGACTTGTTACCTTTCTGTCTGCAGAAGCTGTTGTGGCTTACCAAACACTGTGTTATCTCTTTGCACTCTATAAATAAAGATTTATTTTTTTAAATAACTGTGATATATTTTAACTAATTCTTTTAAAAGTTATTTAGCATTCTAATCCTGGAGAGAAATGTATTTATTTACCAGACTTCCATGCTGTACCTTTAAATCACTGCAGAAAAACTGTAAATTATACCCCTTTCCTCTTCAACAAAGTTTATAGGTTAAACTGTATGGCTTTATTCTAGCAACTAGAAACTGAGGGCAATAAATGCCTCCAATGCCTTACAGATGTTTGATGTGTGATGTATATGGTGGAGTGCTTAGTGATACAATATATTACTTAAAATCCTTTTTAAGTTTGTGTAAATATGTATTTAAAGTGCCAATTTACAGTTTGGTGTAACTGTTCTTTCCGTAAGTTGGTATTATGCTCATATATACACACAATATAAATCTCAGATGGCATTTTAGGAAGCTGCATGCCCTGAAATCCAGGTTCCTTACAAACAATAAATAGAGTATGTGTCCATATTTAAAAAATATATCTATCAAAAGGCTTTTGAGGGAGTGAATATGATAAAATATAACACTAGATATCATATCTATTTGAGTTTGATTTGCAATGAATTATACTGAAACACAAAAGAGAACTTGTTTGAGAAAAGAAAGCTCTGTGGATTCAAAACTGAGCCTTTAGGCATCCAAAATGATATAAGGGATGATGATGACTCATGGAAATAAAACAGAGGAAACTATTGAATAAGCGCAACAAACCAGACTAACTCCGATAAGGATGAATTGAAAAAAGGGAGACATCATATGAATTTAACAAGAGGGAGATCATTTTTTTAATTTGAGACCAAAAAAGCTTTGTGAAATGTGAAAAGTAAATAAAATTTACAGAATGTACAACATTTTTACAGAATTATAAATAATGGTAATATGACTATAATATGGTGCTATATTTGGGGGTCAAAGAAAAGGAGGGCATGTGATGAGCGTCTAAGTAGGTTTTGATGGATGCCAAAAGGAATGTGCCAAAGGCAGCCACAGAAAGAGTGAACAAGATCAGCCTGTGTGTGACTGCATTTGAAGCAAGTGTCAGTCTCTCTCCTGTTCGTAATATCGAATGATGTGGTGAAAAGTAGGAGCAATTCAGAACTTTCCTTTGTTATAAAGGGCAAAATCTATTCTAAGAATGTGCAAAAAGAAGAGGAAAGGAGTTCTCTCTTGAATTTCAAAATTAGGGCATAACCCTATATATTTATATATATACAGTCAGGTCCATAAATATTGGGACATCGACACAATTCTAATCTTTTTGGCTCTACACACCACCACAATGGATTTGAAATGAAATGAGCAAGATGTGCTTTAACTGTAGACTTTCAGCTTTAATTTGAGGGTATTTACATGCAAATCAGGTGAACGGTGTAGGAATTACAACAGTTTGTACATGTGCCTCCCACTTTTTAAGGGACCAAAAGTAATGGTACAGATTAACAGTCATAAATCAAACTTTCACTTTTTAATACATGGTTGCAAATCCTTTGCAGTCATTACAGCATGAAGTCTGGAACGCATAAACATCGCCAGACGCTGGATTTCATCCCTGGCGATGCTCTGCCAGGCCTCTACTGCAACTGTCTTCATTTCCTGCTTGTTCTTGGGGCATTTTCCCTTCAGTTTTGTCTTCATCAAGTGAAATGCATGCTCAATCAGATTCAGGTCAGGTGATTGACTTGGCCATTGCATAACATTCCACTTCTTTCCCTTAAAAAAACTCTTTGGTTGCTTTTGCAGTATGCTTTGGGTCATTGTCCATCTGCACTGTGAAGCACTGTCCAATGAGTTCTGAAACATTTGGCTGAATATGAGCAGATAATATTGCCCGAAACACTTCAGAATTCATCCTGCTGCTTTTGTTAGCAGTCACATCATCAATAAATACAAGAGAACCAGTTCCATCGGCAGCCATACATGCCCACGCCATGACACTACCACCACCATGTTTCACTGATGAGGTGGTATGCTTTGGATCATGAGCAGTTCCTTTCCTTCTCCATACTCTTCTCTTCCCATCACTCTGTTACAAGTTGATCTTGGTCTCATCTGTCCATAGGATTTTGTTCCATAACTGTGAAGGCTTTTTTAAATGTTGTTTGGCAAACTCTAATCTGGCCTTCCTGTTTTTGAGGCTCACCAATGGTTTACATCTTGTGGTGAACTGTTTGTATTCACTCTGGTGAAGTCTTCTCTTGATTGTTGACTTTGACACACATACACCTACCTCCTGGAGAGTGTTCTTGATCTGGCCAATTGTTATGAAGGGTGTTTTCTTCACCATGGAAAGAATTCTTCTGTCATCCACCACAGTTGTTTTCCGTGGTCTTCCGGGTCTTTTGGTGTTGCTGAGCTCACCGGTGCGTTCTTTCTTTTTAAGGATGTTCCAAACAATTGATTTGGCCACACCTAATGTTTTTGCTATCTCTCTGATGGGTTTGTTTTGTTTTTTCAGCCTAATGATGGCTTGCTTCACTGATAGTGACAGCTCTTTGGATCTCATATTGAGAGTTGACAGCAACAGATTCCAAATGCAAATAGCACACTTGAAATGAACTCTGGACCTTTTAGCTGCTCCTTATAAATGGGATAATGAGGGAATAACACACACCTGGCCATGGAACAGCTGAGCAGCCAATTGTCCCATTACTTTTGGTCCCTCGAAAAGTGGGAGTCACATATACAAACTGTTGTAATTCCTACACCGTTCACCTGATGTGGATGTAAATACCCTCAAATTAAAGCTGAAAGTCTGCAGTTGAAGCACATCTTGTTCATTTCATTTCAAATCCATTGTGGTGGTGTATAGAACCAAAAAGATTAGAATTGTGTCGATGTCCCAATATTTCTGGACTTGACTGTATATAAACAAAACCAAGAGGGCTGCACTCACCTGAACATGCATACATTATAGGGTGCTGCTGGGTCCAAAAAATACAAAATACAGAATCCAGCGCACTCACTTATTCACTAAACAATGATTTCAAATCAAACAAAAAATCATTGTTTAGTGAATAAGCGAGTGCGCTGGATTCTGTATTTTGTATATATATATATATATATGTATATATATATATATATATCCAAAAAATCAAAAAAAACTACAGTCCCCAAGTGCATAGAGTAAGGAACAGAAGAGAGGAAATGCCCATAGCAATTAAAGTACAATTTCTTATTACTGGACACAAAATCCAAGTGTGCAGTTATGAATGAGAATACCTAATAGGTAAGAGATTAGGTGTGAGATAAAATTCCACTTATATTAAGCCTCTATGGTTATGGATATTTCCTTTATTAAGCTAAGGCATCAAAAGTGGTCTATTAACTAAATCTCTCAAATGAAATGAAATATTCCCTATTGCTGGACAAAAGATCCAAGTGTGTAATTATTGATAGACAGTACCTAAGAGGCAAGAGTTGTAAAATAAAATTCCACTTATATTAAGCCTCTATGATTCTGAGTTTGTACATCAGAAAAGTGGTCTATTAAATAAATCTCTGCAAAGAGAAAAGAGGATAGGGAAATAGGAAACAAGCATACTCGAATCTTTACTATCTGCATGTTTTCAATATCATCTGAGACACATTGACACCAAAGTGAGCACATCTAATTACTATATCCTCAAAGGAGTCACCTAGAGTCCGCCGAATACCCAGCACAGTTGGTACCAGGCTGAATACCCAGCACGGTTGGTACCAGGCTGAATACCCAGCACTGTTGGTACCCAGCACTGTGGGTACCATGGGTATTTCCGAGTTGGTCTCCGCCCATAAACTATATCCAATCGCTAGTATTGGTTGGCGGATGTTTGTGGGCAGGGTTAACTTCAAACAATATCGGAGTACTGAATCTTCCGCCCTTTTTTGAAACTAATAAACAGTTTCAAATGATTTGTTTATTTACACGTTTCACTTAAGGTGGAGTGGATTCAATCTCTCTATGTTCGGAGACCCCTTGAGTGATCGGTCTATTGAGGGAGTGGTAAACCATAGGACATGATGGGGAGTAATGCCCAATACCGTTGTAGTCTGGTGGGGACATCCTGACTTGGTCCCTGCCCACAGGCTACTTTCCGCCGTCACAATCAACTCTAAACCATAAAAAAAAGAGTGGGTGTAAATAAGGAACGTCCGTCCTTACTATGGAAGAGCGAGCGACTGTCTGTGACATGCTCGTCTCACAAAAATTAATATAAAGGGATTAGCCCCCTTACCTCGCCAACCCCTACTCACATCTGATTGGTCGAGAGTAGCTAGGGGCTGTTATAACTGCTTGGCGCCTTTCCTTTAAAGAGCTGGATGTGGGAGGCCATTCAACGCTAGCCCCAGATGAAGGTGCACTATATTTAGTGCCAAAACGCGCGTGGGGCGTTACTAGCTTTTAACTCTTATCTTACTATGGTGATTTGTAGTTAGTATAATGATTTAAGTGAGTCTGGTTATTATTTTTTTCCTTTTTCTTTTGGGGAGCACTAGGGAATGAGTATTCATTTGCTGGAAAGAGATTCAGAGTTTGAGATTGTATTGATGATAAAAAAAGAAAGAAAGAAACAAAAAACCTTTTAATAACTTTGTTGCACTTTATGTAGCGTCTCCTGAAGATGAGAGAGAAAGAGTGAGAGAGAGAGAGGAGGAAAGGGGGAGGGGTATTTTGTATACTATAATTTATCAATGTTATTCAGGTTTTTATTACATTGAGGACCTCCAACACTTCAATTACTTTGCTACTCCAAATGCAACATTGTAATAGGCTACAGGTTTTTGACTTTCTTTGCTCATACCCACTGACCGTTGATTAGAAAGGGCTCTCTATAGCCACCATGTAATATAATCGAATCTTTACTATCTGCATGCTTCCTATTTCCCTATCCTCTTTACTCTTAGCAGAGATTTAGTGAAAGGAGCACTATAGGCTCCCAGACCACTTCAGCTCAATGAAGTGGTCTGGGTGCCAGGTCCATCTAGGGTTAGCCCTGCAGCTGTAAACATGTTTACACTAGTATTAATCCAGCCTCTAGCAGCTGTCTCATTGACAGCCGCTAGAGGAGCTTCCGCACTTCTCAATGTGATTTTTTCTATGGACTGACTGAATGTGCGCGCGGCTCTTGCCGCGCATGCGCATTTGGCGGATGACGTCGGAAGAGGAAGGAGAGTCCCCAGAACCGAGGGAGCCCGGCACTGGAGAAAGGTAAGTATTTAACCCCTTAACCCCTCTTGAGCGCGTCGGGAGGGGGACCCTGAGGGTGGGGCGACCTATTAATACTATAGTGCCAGGAAAACTAGTTTGTTTTCTTGGCACTATAGTGGTCCTTTAATAGACCACCTTTTTGATGCGTAAACTCAGAATCAGAGAGTCTTAATATAAGTGGATTTTTATTTTACATCTCTTACATATTAGGTACTGTCTATCAATAATTACACACTTGGATCTTTTGTCCAGCAATAGGGAATATTTAATTTCATTTTAGAGATTTAATTAATAGACTACTTTTGATGCCATAGAGGAAATATCCATAACCATAGAGGCTTAATATAAGTGGAATTTTATCTCACACCTAAACTCTTACCTATTAGGTATTCTCATTACCAATTGCACACTTGGATTTTGTGTCCAGTAATACGAAATTGTACTTTAATTGCTATGGGAATTTCCTCTCTTCTGTTCCTTACTCTATGCAGTTACGGACTGTAGTCTTTTGTTTCTTCAAAACCTATTCTGCCTTCATATGGGCATGAATACCATAGTTGGGAATAAGGGTGGATATAGCTTTCAACCATTGAATCAAGCTAGGAGTAAAGTTTGTAAATAAAATAGGTCAGAGCAGTGTACGGTCCTTCCAGAAACTAGGGATTGTGTATGGGACATGGGAAAGGGGATTCAAGGGTGTTGGCAATGTGTCAGTTTCCAGAGAGTGAATAAGTTCACCTAGCTGTGCCTAGCACTGGGTATAAGACTTTTTTGAGCTAAAAGACAATACTTTTTTTGTGTTGGGAAGATTCAAGTCAACTAGATGTCTGGGCTGGAATAACCTAGTAAGACTAACAGCGTGAAAGACATTCCTTTCACTGATATTTGCAGAGATCCTTGCTGAGGTTCATTTATCAGCAATAAATAGCAACAATGGGACAACCTGAAATGTACATAAGAGTTCAGGGAAACAAAAATAAAAGTTTATATGTCAGAGGCAACAGATTCTGTCTCTCAAGTTCCTATAAGACTGATCATAATGGAGGAGGATAGTAATCTTGCACACTCACAACACAAATTGTAATAGTATATCTGGCAAACAGAACCTCGCCACGGGCTTTTGGAGGAGCCCGCTTGCCAGCCTCCTGCCCCAGGACTATGGCCCCTGCAATAGACCGGGCTAAAATACTTTAAAAAGACTGTTTATGCAATTGCATGATTCGGTTCCTGAACAGCCGCACAAACCAGAGACCACCCAGGAGCTTGTTAAACCCTATTAACACTTAGTAACGATTCTAACCGCAGTGTTGTAATTGTCTGTTTGCATGAACGACCACGAGGTGGCGGCCATCTTGTTCGAATGAACGTAGGCAGCGGCGTTTGGTCGTTGAGTTTCTGGAACTAAAATCGGACACAGAAACTCCCAAACACCGCAGGATTTCCATCATCGCCTGCATTCGGTTCTATACAATTTAGAAGGGCACTGTTTGGTGGAATCATTCGTCTGGATGAGGAGGAAAAGCTCCAGGGTAAGAACATTGACTATGTTTGGTAGTTTGTTCGTTTTTAAACTACCGAACTAGACTGACCGCAAGCCCTGATTCTCTGGAACTGTTTTGGACATGGGACAATGTGTGCGGTCGTTCAAATAAATGACTTCAAGGAAATTCCTGAATCCCTGAACCGATCTGGGTGAATTTTGTATATATTGGTCACCCAGACTGGGGGTGAATTTTGTATATATTGGTCACCCAGACTGGGGCTATCAGGGGATGTAACTTTTTGTGTGGTTTGTGTGTTTAAATGTATTTTTGGCGGTTTATAAAAATGTGTGGTTTTTGTATCTAGAGATAATTGAGTTTAGTTCAGTTCATGACTCAATTATCTCCCAGGCACAGGGGAAGGATTGTATTATTATGTGTGAGTGTGTCCTGTATCTGAGAACCAATGTGCTTGTGTATTTGTTTCTACTGTGGTTTACTCTCAGGTCCAGGGGGGAGTGCCCCTTGCATGGGGACTTGCATAAAAGGCCAGTTGTGGCTACCAATAAACGAGTTCCTGCTTACCCTCAACCTAGAGTCTCATCTCATGTGTGGGGGAAGCGGCTGTATCAACCATGGGGATTGCTATATCACTATACTCCCCTGGGATTATAATCACTTGCTCTTGTAAGAGCAGCCTGCTTTGGTCTCTGGACTAGGAGAGGTCTACCCACTGGAAGCTGGATCCTGGTCTTGAGTCAACTGTGGGTGGAGGACAGCGAGACCCCAACCAAGCTGTAACGCTGGAAGTGGGGACTACAGTGCTGATGGTGTCTGGTGGAGTGCTGGAAGTACTCTGTGAGCACTAGGAGCATCGATTGGCGGAGGCACTTAGTTAGGGTGCCAGGCAGTCCGTTACAGTATATATAAAAAAAAAAAACATACAAAGTTTGAACTATTGGGAGCAAATAGATTGTTTATTATAGTGTAAACCATTAGTCTGAATGTTGCCCAGTGAGTTTCTTGCAGCAGTATGATGTGCGATTTAAGTGCATTATACAACACCTTTTAAAGCAGTGGCCATCCATTCTGTTCCAGCCTGAGCAGGAGAAACGCTCTATGTAGAACCTGGGTAAACAATGACAAAAAGCAACATATGGCCCAAAAGACCCAAACAATGTACAGAATGGGCAAAGGCATCATAATAGACAATACATTATGAACTATGCTGAGGTAGAGGGCGACTCAAAGCGCCATTTGAGGACAATATGCAGTCTAAAAAAAGAAAGACTCCTGTGCCTTGGTGACCTAGTTCGTAATCCAAATTTGGCTGGCCACATGCAGCTTGATGGGTTGGCGATATGCTAAAACAAGAAA